GCCTTCTGACGTGATCGCTGATGCGTAACAAAATTAAGATTTGTTAGTAACGTTGCTTTTCTTATAAAAGTTATGAATATTAATTTATTTTTCAAAAGACTAGATATTTGATTTTAAAATTGTTTATTTTGGTTTATTTGCGTTTATTATTTATTATTGGGAATTTAATTATATAAAAAATTTTTAATTGGGGATCTCCTCTTCACTTGTTTTAATGAACTTTTAATAATTAATTTATTTTAAAAGGTTTCGTTTATTATTTTTTTTAAAAGTTTTATTATTCACTTAATTATTTAATTTTTTATAAAAAGTTTTAAACTTTCTGATCATTATTTTTTATTGGTTTATAACGTTCTAATTATATTAAGCTCCTATTTTTAGATTTACTACTAATTTAGTGTAATTTTTTATATAGAATCAAAAATTTTTTAATGTTAACAAGTAATTAAAGAAAAGTTTAAAGCTGATTTTGACTAAAAATCAGAAATTTTCTATATAAATATTATTGGCATTATTTTTAATTCAGAAAAGGGTGTTACCTTGAAGAAATTAGAACTGAACTTTTCTAAATTTTAATTCAATTTACTTATAATAACACCATAAAGAACAGATTTTTCTCTTTATAATTTTAACTTTCTAATAATTTTTGGGTTTAAAAGTTTTTTATGTATAAGATTTTTTAATTTAATTATTAGGAGCGATAATTTTCTCCCAAAAAACACTAAATTCTCTCTGATTGACGCACGCAGGCGCCAACATTTAGCAGAAGAATTGATTTTTTTTATAGAAAAGCTTCTACTTTTGGGTAGATAGGATGTATAATCATTAAATTTCAAATTATTTCATTGCTTTCACGGGGGAAAACAGGTCTACAGTTGGAAGAAGATCACTTACTTCTCTGCGAATTCGCCGTATTTTTTTTTCAAGAAGTAATATAAATTTTCTACTAGATTTATTATAGGAACTTATTAATTTTTTTAGGTTAACTTATGGATTAAAAATAGAGTCTTGCAAGGAAATTCGAGTCGTAATTTGTTGCTTTTGAAGAGAATGCAAAGTGTGTTTTGGTTTAACAGCGCTGCTCAACTGCAAATTTTAAATAATTTAGTTGAATTATAATTTTTTGAAACGATATTGCTTATTAAATTAAAGTTGGAGTAAATCATTATTAAAATTATGTTCCAAATTACTCTTCAGATGGAGTGCTTAAAATACTTTTATTTAGTTGGTTTTTTAATAAAGATCGCACTTTTACTATACTAAAGCCTCCCGGCGGGTTTGCGCTTTTTACTATTTTTTTAAAAAAAAAATTCATCTTATATTCTATACCAAAGATATGGCCCATCAACGAGGTTATTGAAATCAGTTTATAAAATAAGTTTTTTTATAGAGCGCATAAAAAAGACTGTGCTGCTTGGCATTTTTTTTTATTGCTTAATTTACAAGAAAATTAACTTTTAACTACTTAATAGAAGTTCAAAGTTTGCTTAGTAAATCTTAATAACGCACAGTTCAAAAAATTTTAAATATATATACCCTTGTTAATAATTCCAAGCACTTTAATTTAAACTAACGGATAAGGATAATTATTTAATCAACTTGCTTTGGTTATATCACCGTGGTTTAGTAAGGGTTTTAGATCCATAAAACTTAATAATTTTGCCTTAAACTTTCTTACTTTTTGTTGACGCCCACGCATTAAGTTAACTATAGTATTTAAGTTTTCAACTAAAAAACCAAAACAGAGTCATTTTAACACAAGATATGTAAGTTAAAATAATATAAGTTGAACTATATCCGGTTTTTGAGAGTCATAATTTAGTTACTCACTCTTACTGAATCCGCTAGTAAGAAATTATTCTTTACTATTTGAAAAAAGTGCCTGAGCGTTAGTAGTTTTTGTCGCTCTTTCTGCTAAAGGATAACGGCTAAACTTTTTTTAACAGGTTTAAAAATATTGCCAGCATCGAAATTTTTTGAACGTACATCTCACTCGAGTTTTTTGCTGAGAAGTATGAATAACAAAGGCGGGTGTGCAACAGTTAAGAAAGGGAAAATCGCTTAAACCTTCTAAGAAAATAAAAAACAGTTGCAAACATTATTAATTCTTCACACCGTTATATTTATAAAATATTTACGTATCTGTGTACAACTCATCTTTAAAATCGAGTCACTTGTTTTTGATGCATTGTTTAGGACTGCGAAATAAATGCTAAAAGTTAGAACTCTATTATTTGTATATTTTTCTGTATTCTACAAATTAGTGGAAATTATATTTTTCAAAATAGTATTTTCAGCTAATTTTCTAATAGTTAAAAGGTCTCTTAGTAATTGATAGTTGTGTAGTTGCCTTGTTTTGTTATTATTATTATTATATGTGTTAGTCTTCTTAAAAATGTTTTAATTTTTTTGATATTATTTTATTGCCTTTAAAAATTATAAAATTGGGCATACCTTTCAGTATGCAAATGCTTAGTTTAGTGAATAAACTAGTAGGGGATAGAAGCAAAACAGGTGGTTCATTAAATTTTCTGCCTACACTGAAGCAACAAAGCTGAGATAGATGGTATTATACAAGCAATTGTCTACTAACACTAAATATGCTTATATTGGCTTTTTTTTAAGTCGATACTATCTATATTCCCAATACTATACGACTGTGCAATGTCTTAACGCATAGATTCTTCATTTATAGTTTTCCTTAGTATGGAAAAAGTACAAATTAAACTTTTTAAAAGCAGTTTTCTTTAAAATTTCCTCTTTTCAATATAAATCTCTACCTTCATAAAACACTTTCACTTATTTTTAAAGATGTTAACAAAACGACAAAAAGGTTAGCAAGCAAAATAGTTATTTCCTGCCGTATCTCTTGAAACTACCTCAAAATTTTGTTAACCTTATAATTGTTACTTCGAGGAGGCCCCGCGTCTGAGCTAAGCAAAATGTAAGCCAGACTTTTCCCACTTGTGCAAAACCGATATAATTCTGCTTTTTAGCTTTACACTATGGAGAGAGTGCATCTTTGAAAGCTGGATCAACTTTTTTAAAACTTTTCTCTTTAAGAAGAGTTTAGCAATGAACAAAATGTTCTTTTACCAATGGCATCATATCAGGGAGGGGGTAATGCTGGGAAAATTGAGCGTGCCCCAGCGAGTTATCGCAAGGATGAAATAGGCTATGCAGGATACTAAACTCAAATGGCGGGTAACCTGTTGCGGTATAACTTTTTCGGAATGCTTTTTGCTCGCTAATCGATAAGTTTGTTCTTCCTTTAAATTTAAAAACTTTTATTATCCCCTCAACCTTTCCATTAATTTCCAAAAAAATTATTTTATCTTTCTATCCTTTACCTCAACAAACTATAATAACTTGTCCCTTGTCTTTTTACTATCATTTTTTCTCTAAGTCCTTTACAATGACTAGTATAAGCAAAAACATTAACGCTAAAAAGTAAATTTTGCAATATGTACTGGTAAATAATGTCTGTGTTGTTACAACTACGAGTGAAGCGTCCAATACTTAAAATAGCTACTACTAAATCAACTCTTCAAAGCAATGCAACCACGCCAAAAAAAATAGTAAAGGAAAGGATCGAGTCCAAAAAGTTTCAATGCAAGACGACGAATTTCCTTCTTTAAGGCCTTAACAGTTGCTGCTCTGCGAGAGAAGAATAAGATTTAGGGTACGTAACGAGTATCTGCAGGAGCATACAGTCCTCCTAACTTTTTTATGCCCTTAAAAAAACCAATTATACAAAATAAGATTGTTTTTGGCTTCGCCTTGTTAGCACTAAAGTGAAAAACATTTTTAAAAAGGTAATTAGGAGATTGTGGAGTTCCGACCGATAACAGTTTTGGTACCCTTGTCTCTGATTCTTATGTCTTTCTTTCCCTTATATAAAAATAACAATTAACATTACGCCCTATATTTAAAAAATTAGTATAAATAAAAAGAAATTAATGGGTGAGAATTATATAACGGAATCTATACGGTAAATATGCAACGTGCAACGTAGGGGGCGCAAAATGAAAATTTATTATGAGACCGCCCTTGTGCGGTATTGAACCATTTGCAGATGAGCGTGTTACACAAACTTTTAATAAAAAAGGGTTCTACGCAATTTGTAATTCGTTACTAAATATATGTTAGTAAGACTTCAAACTTTGTATATAAACTAATTATTTACTTTTTATATGTTTAAGTGAGAATAGTATATAACTCGAGAGAAACAACTTTACGTTATGAAGGACATAACAACGAGCAAAAAGAAGGAATATGCTTTCTATTGGAAGGCTTTATAGCCTTAACTTATAGACACTTAAGAGATTAGTATAAGTTTAAAAACCTTTTTATATAAAAAATATGCATTAGTCAACAAAGCGATAATTTCCATAAATTAGAATTACGTTAACTCTTGTTTATGTGGGAATAGTATATAGCCCGAGACAAACCGTTCTACGGTTTGGAAAAGGCTAAGATTAACGAGCAATAATAGGTAATATGTGTCCTATCGTAGCGAAGGCTTTACAGCATTAACTCATAGACATTTAAGAGAATATTATAAAGTTTAGAACCTTTACATAAGATAAAATATATTTACTTAACAAAGCGGTAACTGTCCAAAAAATAAGTTACGTCAACTCTTCCAGAAATGGGTTAAACAACTTTATATATGAACTTAGAAAAATTAAGACAAAGCGCTATAAAACAAAAAGACTATGACAAAGTATTTAGTTGCCAAAAACTATTAAAACATAGTTTAAAATCGAAGTGCTTATAGGTCAATATCTTAAGTAAAAACGTAATTGAATTAATAATTTATAAAGTCCAGTTAATAACCTGACAAAAACTAAAAATAACTGTCAAGAAAACTAACAGCACCATTAAACAAAAATAGAGTAGAAAACTTTTACTAGAACCGGTAATAACAACTAAAATATAGAAACAAGCAATAAGATACCTAATAAAAACATAATTGCATTCATTTATATAGGGCTACGAACTTTTTATTATAAGCATCTATAAGTTACATATAGTATTTTCATAACTACTTTTTCTTAGTAGGTTCTTGCTTTTCCACAGTCTTAATAACGCCCACAGCAACAGTTTGTCGCATATCCCTAACGGCAAACCGCCCAAGAGGAGGATAAGCACTGAAGGCTTCTACGCACAGCGGCTTAGATGGCTTTAAAGTAACGATACCAGCCTCGCCAGCCTTTATATTTTTAGGATTGGCTTCCAAAGTTTTCCCAGTGCGCTTATCTACCTTTTCAACCAACTCCTCAAACTTACAAGCTATGTGCGCGGTGTGGCAATCAACAACGGGAGTGTAACCAGGATGAATGCCACTAGGATGATTCAAAACAATGACTTGTGCAGTAAAAGACTTGCAGCCAAGAGGCGGGTCATTCTTCTCATCACCAACGACATAACCACGATGTATATCCTTCACTGAAACATTTTTGACGTTAAAGCCAACATTATCTCCAGGCAAAGCTTCCGGAATAGATTCATGGTGCATTTCAACAGACTTGACTTCAGTTGTTAAATTAGCAGGGGCAATTCTCACCACCATGCCTGGCTTTAGAATACCACTTTCAACACGACCTACGGGGACGGTGCCAATGCCACCAATCTTGTAAACATCCTGTAAGGGGATACGTAGAGGTTTGTCAGAAGGACGCTTCGGAGGAACTATAGCATCTAAGGCTTCCAGAAGGGTTTTACCCGTTTTACTTCCCGCTTTGCGTTCTATGGTCCAGCCTTTATACCAGGGCATATTCGTAGAAGCTTCTATCATGTTATCACCGTTAAATCCTGATATAGGAACGAATGGTATTCCTTTAGGGTTATAACCAATCTTTTTGACATAATCTTGAAGTTCCTTGGTGATTTCATTGAAGCGCTCTTCTTTGTAACCAACTGAATCCATTTTGTTAACGGCAATAATCATTTGTTTAACACCCAAAGTGTAAGCAAGTAAGGCGTGCTCCTTAGTTTGCCCATCTTTTGAAATGCCTGCCTCAAATTCGCCAGTCCCAGCAGCAACAATTAAGACAGCGCAATCGGCCTGGGAAGTCCCAGTTATCATATTTTTAATAAAATCCCTATGTCCAGGGGCATCAATGATAGTAATAGTGTAATTATTTGTCTCAAATTTCCATAAAGCAATGTCAATGGTAATACCACGTTCCCGCTCAGCCTTTAATTTATCTAAAACCCAAGCGTATTTAAAAGAGCCTTTTCCCATATCAGCTGACTCTTTTTCAAACTTTTCAATAACACGTTTGTCAATACCGCCACACTTATAAATCATGTGGCCGGTAGTAGTTGACTTACCGGAGTCTACATGGCCCACCACGACAATCGAAATGTGAACTTTCTCCTTTCCCATAGCGAACAAACTAGAGCAAAGAGCGCAAAGAGGAGTGCAAAAAGTAAGGGAGAGAACCAACGAGGGCCTCCAAATACGGTATTTATACTGTTGATTTAGAAAAAAAAATTACAACACACAAGGGGCCAAATAATTTTACTGCACTTCCTAATTTGGTTAAAGCGCACATGTTTAATTGAAAAATCACGTGAAAGCGATTAGGTAAGCTACTTGCTGCCTGGTTACATTTATCTTACCAAGCCAAGCAGGATTATTTGTTAAATCCCGGAAGGATTTTTACTTTGTTATATCATTGACTTTTTTGGTGTTTATTGTTATTTTAAACTTTTGATTATAATAAATTTCTTTCTTTTCCGCATTGTTTACATTCTTTTATCCTCCCAACATTCTTAAAACACTTTATTGCCTCTGTTTTTTATAACCAAAAGGACTAGTTTCTTTCTTTTATATTAGCTTTGTAGTCTTTAGATATGTTTTATTAACACTACATTTACTTTTTCGAATGAAACTATAGTTATTATATCACCGTTTTTTAAGCTCTTTGCCCTCTTAAGTATTTTAGGAAAATGTATTGTAGTTGTATTAATACTTTATTAAAGCATAGCTTATATTAGAACAATATATGATGCTCATGTAATTAAGTGTGTATAATAAATATATTTTTTATGCGATTATTTCTTTACCAGTAACGTTTTTAAAAACCTCAAGTCTGTTGATTTATGATTTACCTGAAGGAATATTTTAAAGTGACCGCCTAGAATTTGTCTTCCTTTTCAATATAAATATTACTAATAATTAATAACTAATTTAAAAGGAATTTTTTTTGTAAAAAAATTAGGATTTAAAAATAAGAAAACTGGATTGGGTTCTGCATTTTTAATCACAAACGTATATTGACTCTCTTAGTTTCTAAAAAGGTTATATATTGTTCTTTATACCTTACAATAACCGGTTAAGTTCAGAAGTACCATACTATTATATGAACTTATTTTTACCAATTGTGTTTTGGTTGCATAGTTATTTGCATAACTCTTCAATATTAAGTAGAACTACATATTTTTAAAACCTTAATGAGCTTATAACACAAGCTATATGCTCTATAGTTTACGCGTCTTCAGCAGACATCTTTAAGTAAAAGACGTATGTGTGACGGTCTTGCAAATAAAGAAAAGACTATCCAAATTATTTAAGTAATTAGTTTTAGTGGAAGGTTTAATAATATATATATAACTTAAAGTAACATTAAAGTAAGGCGAAAACTTTTAGGTTTATGAAGTCAAAAGTAAGTTACTTCTTCACAAGTTTATATTAACATTGAGCTGGCTGTACTTGCGTCATACTTCCAGTTGGGCGGAATTTGTCCCACACGTTTATAATATCGAGCTAATCTATGTACACGAGATTCAACGAGGATTAAGCGAAACTTTGATTCTTTATCCTTTCTATTCCGAGAAAGATGTTTACGGATTGTGACTGCCTTTCGAATAAGAGCAACTAAATCTATACAAGCGATAATGACTAACCATCCCAGTAAAGCAGTAAAAAAATAAAAACCTTCAGGAAGAGTAGGTGCAAGACCGTTAGCTTTTAAAATGCGAAGAATTTTGTTTCCGGTAATACGTTCAACTTTCGTAACTCCACAACTATCTCTTAAAATGGCACCAATTTTAGAAGGAGAGTAACCTTTCCGAGCGTAATTGCATATCTGCTCCATAACATCTTTGATACTTAGCTTAAACCAGGCAGGAGGTGTTCGTCGATAAGGCAAAGCACTCTTTGAAATGCCTTTACCAGGCGTGTGCATACGACCCATTCCGAAAACTATAAATCTAAAAAAAACAAATTATTTTAAAAATATTTTAAACCATACAAAAGCAGTTGTAATAAAGCATAAAGACCGCTGTACAGTTGAATAGAAAAAAATTGCGTAACACGTGGGTCTCTATGCCGAAACTATGTATATATACGCTTGAGTTACGACCACTCGTAGTATTGGTTTACCTTGCACTTTTTTCCGTCCCTTTCCCGATGGCGGCCTCGTGGTCTATGAAATGCCTTTTTATACTTAAAAGTATGACTTAAAACCTGTAAAAAACCCGTACAGTATGTATGGTTTTTACAATCGTTGTTACAGATATAAAAAGATACTGCCAAAGTTTATTGCATGAAGGTAAACCTTTTATTAGAAATTTTCAATTATTTGGGATTTGAACATCCTCATTAAATTAATGGAGTTTTAAACCACCTTGATAACATTTTTGTTTTCTTGGTTGAAAAATCTCCTAAATTATTATATGGCGAAGATCTGATAGGACGGTTGTTTCTTTTTAATAAGTAACGATCGTTAGAGTATTCTTCCCACATTATTTGATAGTAGTTTTAATTTTCTTTAATAAATAAAAATAGATTAGCTATAGAATTTTTTTTAGTATTCCACTGATAACTTCTTATATATAGAAAGAGAGAGAAAAGAATACCAAGTCCCTAATCCCCCAATAATTTATATTTATTTTTATTACCCCTGCTTTGTTCAATTTCAGGTTTTACTATAAATAAAAGCAATTGTAATAAAGACAGCTATAAAGTTAAATTGCGAATATTTTTGTACTTTTTTATCTCGTCCGCTTCTTATGGCAACCTCGTGGTTTTTAAAGTGCTCTTTTATACTTAGAAGTGACTTGAAACGTGTAGAAAGCTCGGACAGAATTATTTATAAACTTTATTACTAAACTAGAAACCTTGCTATTAACAGTTTATTACTGGAAGGTAATATGAATTTATTTATTTATATTTAAAGGTAAACTAAATTTATATATTGATAATTAATCGGGAGTTTTTCTCCCTATAGTTAATAAGTTTATGGAGTTTTAAACCACTTCGGCAACTTTCTGTTTCCTTGGTTAAAAATTCTTTTAAATTATTGGCGAAGAACTGATAGGACGGTTGTTTCTTTCTAATAAGTAACGATCTTTAGAGTATTATTCTTTAAACATTCTTTGCTAGTAGGATTCAAGTTCTTATAATAAAAAGATTGGCTATATTTTTTTAGTATTTTACTGATAACTTACACTATATATTTATAGATAGAGAGCTGAAAAGCAGGTTTCTTATCATGCAACAATTTATTTTTATTGCCCTCGCTTTGTTAACTTCTGAGTTTATATTATTTGATAACCATTCTACGGCTGCCACGAGGTGTGCAGTGCTTAAATTGTTTTAATAAAACTTGAATTTCCTTTGTTGGTATTTGTTTTTTTAATAAGGTTGTGGGTATGCCTATTAAATCTTGCATCACCGACTTGCTCATAAACGTTTTACAACATTTGGAAACTTGAACATACTCCAAGCTTTTATTAACTGTTATTTATTCGTCTAACAGGCAGGTTTTACCGATAGATTTTTTAGCCATAAATTATATTTTTCTCGTTTTCTGAGAGATTATAATTTTTTAGGAAGCATATTTTAAGTATGTAATAGCATATTTATAATGGTCAGTTTACCACTTTACTATATTACTTTGTAGATCTCTGGAGCACGTCTACTTAACTTTTGATGAGAAAAAGATGATAATATCCATATTTTTATATTTTTTTTATACTTGAAGTTAACTTTTGCAGTTTTTGAATCTAACGCAATCAATATTCTTGGTATTCTTTCCTTTATTGGGAACTAATAGCCTTTGCACGTCTAATTTTATGTAAAGATGATAACTATTAGTAACTGTAGCTAAAGTTTTACGTGTTGACAAGCTAGATGAATTGTTGTGCACGGGTTAAAATTTTTTAGTTACTTTTTAGATATTATTGATAGGCCGTTTTGAGAAATTGTTCTATTGTCCAGTATGGTAATTCTAGCTTTAAGACTAAATGCCGTTTTTAAGCTTTACTCCACTTTTACATCCTTTGCAGCTTTTGTAGTTACCCATTCTCTTTATATAATATATAAACAATTTTAACTTTTAAATGGTATAAAAATTACCACATGTATTTATTAAATACCTATGTTAAGCTTAGTGGTAACAGTTCAAAAATACGGAAACCTCTTGTAATTTTTAAAGCAGTGGGCTTAGGCTTTTTTGCAGGGCTAAAAAGTTTTTACACCGTGAATTATAAACGTTTAAAAGAATAATTTTTCTTTTTTATCAAATAAAAATTTGGGTTATTGTAATTATTACTATAACGCTTTGAATTTATGGTACAGTTTAAAAAGTATGATATATTCGACGCATATGTCTCAAATTGTGCACGGCCTTCAAGTACTTAACACGTCCTAATTAGGGATCAAAGCTCTATAGGAATAATTTTTAATTGTAAGCGTTGATTTCTTCTAAAACACTATTTACAGGTCCCACACAACGAATAAATATAACTTTTATTCTTTAGGCATTGGATTACAAAGTCCGTATGTACTATATTGTTTTAATCTTCTTAAGCTGTTTCCTTTTTTAATAAAAACTGAAGGCGTTTTCCTTTAAATAACTAGAGTTTATCACAAGTATAGAAATACAGTTATAAAAGCAAAAATTTTATTAATTAAGTTACAAATTAGTGATTTTAAATAAATATCTTGATATTAGGGTTAGTATTAATACTCCTATTTGTAGTCTGTAAAATTTGAGCATCGTTTTGGGCCAGAATTAGCTACTTAACTGATAGTGATCGAAACTTTTTAAATAATTTTGAAGCTGTATCTTTAGGTAACGTTTGAAGGATTTAATATTGCAAGCTCAAAGTATATGACAAAAAAGCAGAAAAAAAGAACTATTAGACAGTGTACAACAAGAGACCACACCGCTTGACTGTATTATTTGCTATTGTTGCTTTCTTCAATACTGGCGTACTACGGACAGGAGTTTAAACCGCTCGATACCCCCTGTCTAGGAGGGGTAGGGGGCATGAACCCCCTCCCTATGCATCCGCCCGGAGAAGTGTCCCGAAGGGGATTGTGGGTAGCGGAAATGTATTTAGCCCGTACCCCCTTCTTCGACCTAGAGTGGTGCAAGACCACCTCCCGAAGAGCTAACCCTCAAATACTAGGCCCAAACCACTTGGTGATCCGCCAAAGCGCCAACCAAGCCTTTCGACTTAGAGCTTCTGCCAGAGAAAGGGAGCATCTTTTAGGTGTTTTTTTTTGTTCAACTTTAAAAAAAGGATTACAACCAGACTTGAATTAGATTTCCGGCGCTGGAACCAAGATGCTAGAACGCGAGTGCCTCCCAGGGTTTCCAGTAAAATTATTTTTTAGGAGGGTATTAAAGAGCCCTCATATTTGTAAGATGAAAATTAATGTACTGGCTTCAGAAAAAATACTGAAGTTAAGGTTTAATTTGTAAATGTATAATTCTTTTCATGGCCTAAATAAGCCTTTGATGCCTTTGTGAACCTACAAGGAAAATTTTTTCAGAACTTTAACGTTTCAGTATTAGTTTAAAAACATTAAGCACATGCAACTAAACCATAAATTATAATCTATCACAGTATCGGAAGGTTTAATATTTCGAAAAGGAATACGACTTTCCTTTGCTTTTAGAGTGTGAGAAGCAAGACAGACCTAGAATTGCGTTAAAATTGTACTAAATTTAATAACTTAAGATACAAGCTGTTTCAACATTGCATTCGTAATGCTGTCTATCCCAATCATTCACCTGCTTTTAGTAATTATTTATACTGCGCAGGCACTTATGTAGTAACACTTTCGTGTAGGTGAACTGGAGCTTTTGCGTCACTTAGTATAGTTCTCATACCCACGTATTAATTGCTCCCAATCAATGACCAGTAGAAAACTAGGTTCTCCGCGAAAGCGCAACCTTTACCAGCGCTTGTGCGGATCGACTACCGTCATGTAACAATTTGAGTACTGCAATATATGTTTTGTGATTAAAAGCTTTTAAGTTATTCTAAAATCTACCTAAAAAGGAACGAAACTCATTAGTCTTTTCTCCAATTTTTATGAAATTAATTTCGATTTAGCAACTTTAAGATAAAAACCATTGGTGTTACGCATTCTAATTATGTTAAAGTAAATGGCAAGCTCATTTACTACCGAAATAATTAAAGGAACCTATATATTCTTGTTTAAAATAATGTTTAAAACATCAATGGTGTTAAGGGGGAGCTATATGCGTGTTCATAGTGAGCTAATACTACAATATTTATTACCCCTAGGTCGTTCTGAAATAATTTAGTATGCATTTGATAAACAAATATGTAAAAGCGTGTTTGCTTGAATATCTCCACTTATAAGTAGAAGTTGAGCTTCAAATAATTTATCAAGTTAAAACTGGGAATTTTAACAAAAGATGTATACCTAACTCATCAGCCAGAATTGGGAGGCGCAGCTCACAATGAGTATTTTTTTTAAGAAAATTCAAAGCTTAAAATAAGTTATAACCAAATTATCAGCATTCCTCGTGCCTCAAATCATGTGAGACACTAGTGTGAAAAGGTTTCTGCTTTTAAGCGTTCAAAATTTTGCATGGAGCATTTAACAAGTGACTTATAAGGCGTAAAAAGTAGTTTTGGTTTCTGTCGCTATTGTATTTTACTTGGTGTCAAAGTATTTATAGCCTTAAGATAAATGGGTAGCTGCTTCGAATAATTTCAAATTTGATTTTTTGAGATTAAATGTATACTTTACTTATTAAAAAAACTTTAATAGTTACTAGCAGGTATAGGGGCTACTTTACCAATTTTCAATACTCACAGTCTCTTATTTCGGGTATTAAACATAAAAAATTAGTTGAAAAAATTAAAAATCAACTTATACCTGAATATAACAGAGTTTTATGTACGAATACCAACTTAAATTCACAAGATCATATTCCTAATGAAAAATCTGTTGAAAATATTCATAGTAGCTTAGTGTTTCCCATAACACCCCCTATTCCTAGCAATTTAACACGATCTGGAAATACTACGTCCTTTGAATTGTTAGATATTAATCCAAACTTTGTAAGCAAGTTGCCAGCTCACATTCTTTTTCCGTCCCCGATTCAGGTTGCAGCCATTAAGGTAATTAAAGCTTTAAGGAAACCGGACGTTATCATTGACTCTCCTTCTGGTACCGGAAAGACTCTAGCCTACTTACTACCTGCTTTGTCCTTAATAGATAGATTAGAAAAAGGTACCCAAGTCATTATTGTATGTCCCTCCAGGGAATTATGTTTACAACTGACGCGTATTATTCATCCATTAGTAAAAGGTTGGATATAACTTAAATTTAAACATTGTTCTTATAGATATATATATATAGGGGGCAGTAAATATTATAAAAAAAATCCAGTTACCTACAGAGAGACTCATGGCGAGCTAAACCCTACCTATGAAATTTCCGTTCGGTTTTTTTTTTATTCATACTCGTATTGTTAATAATAAATCTTAATACTAACGCCTTTTATTATATTGTAAAGCGTTCAATGCCCCCACGTCTTAATAACAACACCCTATACTTTGAATTCTCTTTTGAAAGTAAAGAAACAAGTTCTTTTTTTACAAAATTTAAAGTTCATAATCTTCGATGAAATTGACCATATGCTCGAAGAATCTGGCCCATCGCTCCAGTATTTAAAGGTAATCAATTTTTTTTTTTTAGAAAAAAAAAATAGTTTTATTTCACGTGTATTCCCTTAGGAATCTCTTGCCCTTATAAAAAATTACGCACCGAAAGCAATTTATCAGCATGTATTAACTTCCGCAGTTATTAACAAGGAAGTAGAAGATTTTGTTAAGACTGTCTCCAGGTATTACCGCTACGTGCGCGACAACAGGTTCCTAATTTTTTAATCCCGTTTTTATTTTTTATATATTACTTTGTTATATAGCTTTTCAGGAAAAAGGGTAAATGAATTTTCTGTTGATCACTACATAATTTTTTTAAGACAAACAAAACTGACCGGAGTGGAATTATCTGTTAATAATCACAAGACAGCAGTAAATGCTACAGACGATGTTTCTTGTTTAAAGGAAAACGTTATAAGCAAAGATGCAGCGGATTCTGTGAATGTTTTAACAGAAAACATTAATCTTTGTTTGGAAAAAAATAATAGTAAAACTAATAATAACCACCGCACTGAAGATGCTCCTTTAGAGGAGGATTTTCATAACAAGGAAATTTTAGATTGCGTTGTTTTAGCGGCTCTTGATAAAACATTTCCCGCGGATAACGTTTTTAAAGAAACACTAATATTTGTAAATGACAAATATATCGTGCCCGATCTCTCTAACGACCTCTACTTCATGGGCATCACAAAAATATGGGAGTACACCTGCTACACTCAAGAAAAAGTGCGAAATTTAAATTTGAATCAAAAGGAAAAAGTGCAAACTAAAAATGTATTTAAGGAAAATTTTAAGCAAGAACGAAAGAAAAACTTCGGCGCTTTTATAATCGCTACCGAAAGGGCATCCCGCGGCATAGACCTGCCAACCGTCACGCGAGTTGTAAATCTGCACGTACCAGTTAGTTTGGAGTCTTATATACACCGAAGCGGTAGAGTTGGGAGACTCTGCTCGGTTGCTAAAAGCAATACGCCTTCATTTAAGAAGGGGAAAGTGTTTAATATTGTTAGAAGTTTAGATGATTTTATTGTTCTTCGTAAGTACGAAAAGGAACTCAATATCAATTTTAAAATTACTTGTTTGAATATTTAAAATCATAGTTTAGATTAGTTTAATATGACTTTACATAATAAATGCAAGGGACATTTTATTATAAATTTATTATTAACTATAGAATTCACACCGCTTAAATAAGCTTATAAGTAATCACTCAGTAGCCAGAATAAGGAATTAACAAAATTTTAAAAAAAAGTAAAATTTTTAAAATTACTTTCCACAAACGAAAACTTTATTTGCGAGCTAAACGTTTTTTCCAAAGTTTAAGAGGCCCGTGATTTCTTAAAGTCTGGACGTGGTCGCCATCGGGGATCAACGCCCCAACTTTCCTCAGTTTTTCATACTCTTCTACCTTATAATTAGTAAAGCCCCATTTAGAACTAACAACAATTGCTTGGCGACCGGGAAATTTAAATTTAGAACGACGAAGAGCTTCAACAACATGAGGGACGCTGGCCGGTTTACAGCGAACAGAAATAAGAGGCTGCCGTATATTAACGCGAGCAACAGTCCCCAATGGCTTTCCAAAGGCTCCCCTCATTCCCGTTTGTAGTCGATCGGCGCCAGCACAGCTCAGCATTTTGTTGATCCGAAGAACGTGGTAAGGATGTACTCGCACACGTAAATGGAACGCATCTTTTCCACAAGTCTTGACAATATACTTATTAGCGCAGATTCGAGCTGCTTCTAAGGCTTCTCCAGACTATGTATAAACAAAGAACTAAAATCATGGTTTCCAATATTTTTAAGGTAATATATATATAAATATATTGTATTACAAGTTGCTCTTTTTCCAAGGAAACCATATGAATGCAGGAAGGAAACTCGTCAACATGAGCTTTTTTTCGTCCAAGATCAAAAATACGAATTTTAGGGTCAGGAACGCCACGGCAATACCGAGATTTAGGGTAAGGCTTATTTTTACAATAACGGTAACAACGCGCTGGTCTCCGTCCCATTACGTCTGTTTCAATATATTTATATAATATATATTTAAAGAAAAAGGTGAAAAAAAAAGTCCGCTGATAAACTAATAATATTTATAAAAAAAGGAAAAAAGCTTCCAACCTAAAAATGAGGACAAACTACAATGAGTTGGTCCCCCCAAAGGTAGACGACATATAAAGCCTCATGTTTTTTGGTGAGAAAAATTTGATGGAATGGGGGGCCTCCTTTTGCGTTAACGCTTCGTTACTGTTGCGGAGGGGTTGAGACACCCAAGTCTTGGTTCCTTCGTTCACTGCTAATTGACGCCCTCCTTGGTAAAGTGGGGTATATAAATTATTTAAAGTGTTTTAGCTTTAAAGTAAAAGTCCCTATTTCCCTGATACTGGTAGAAAACTTATTCCAAAAAAATAGAGGAAAATATTTGCAATAGTACCCATCATAATAACGTGGCGTTTATCCTCCAGCGCACTAACGAAGGGTTAATATTTGATTGCGGTAAATCTAGTTCATTTTTCGAAAATAAAGCTGTATTTAAGATTTAGCTAAGGTTAGCTTTGTTGACTTTGAACGAAAGTCTTTAATAACTTTTTGCTTAAATAGCTTTATTTTAATAAAAATACTTGCTATTATTTTAAGCAGGTAAGAGCATACATTTGGTTTTTTTAAAACTTTTTTATAATCTTTTTAATAGCTTCAACAAACAACTTTCAATGTCAAACTATATATATTATTTTAAAATTATAATTTCACTGGGAAACTAAGTTCCGTTTTCCAAAGTTAGGGTTGTGTTAAGGATTTTTGCGCTACGATAATATCCTCCTTTCAAGAAGGGTTGGGGCGTGAAAACCATCAGTAAAGCGGAGTATAATGACTGTTCTAAAATGCGAAACAGCAGAGAAGTATCAGGCTTCGCCCTTTAAATACTGCCCAACTAAGAGGCATCCCATTTTACTTTAGGCTTCCTTATGTATCTACAAATAGTTAAAAAGTTTGCGTTCTAACCCTTACCCACAACAATGTCACTAAGAGCCCTACAAATTACTGAACTTCAGTCACTAGTAACACACCAGCTAAAACGATAATTATTTACCAAAAAAATATATTGTTAAAGTCTACAGTCTTATAAAAAGAAGATACTATGAACGAAGCCAACTTATATATTCTAAGTGTTTGTTAAAGCTACCTTTTTTTTTTTAGCCTAGAAATTAGTTTGGCATTCATCTCAGTATTAAAGGGTTAAACTGTGTTAAATATTTTTTAGTTTAATAAACTTACAAAGCTTAGGGTGCTATTTTCTCTTAAATGATATTCTACATTCTTCAAGTTTCTAAGGGAAAATTTTCTGCTTATTTTTGAGGTAATCAGGTATTTTTAGATAAAGTTTAACTTTTTAGCAAGTCGTTTATGTACAAGATATACACTGGTTATAAAAAGAAGTTGACCACTATAACCAAGAAGTTTTTAATTAATTTTGTCACTTCTATAGAAAAACTATTTTAATAATCGATAACCGAGTTCATTCGTATAATTTATAAATAACCTTATATATATAACTAAGATTTAGCTAATTATAGGATGGCAGCAGAGTTAGAAAAATACACAATTGAATAGTCTTGCGCCGTTCAGTTCGTAGCGGCCTCTCAGAATAGTGTTAGTTACTAGTACTATATATAAGGCAACCATCTCAGCTCAGATAATCAGTTACAAGCACTATGAAAACTAACTACCATGCAGTTTGTCACCCGATATATTTTTAGTATACAAACGAGAAAATGGGTGGAAACAAAGGAATGTATAAAAAAATTATATCTTTTAATTTTTATCTCCTATAAAAAAGTTGTTGTTTAAGTAATTTAACCAATATTCTAGCAGAAGTAGTCCAGTTAAACAAATTGCTTTTAATAAGGTTTATCAGGCAGACTACATGCCTTATAGAAGTTATTTGTATTGTAGATTTCCTGATTCTAAAAAGTAAATAAAGATCCAATTTAAAATTTTTAGAATTACTTTACTTTTAATATTGAATTACAGTAAGTGAAATAAGTTTATCCAAAGGTTATTTTACTTTTTTTTGGCAACCTCCTTCTTCTCAACTGCTTTAATGACACCCACAGCCACCGTTTGACGCATATCTCTGACTGCGAAGCGCCCAAGTGGGGGGTACTCACTAAATGATTCAACGCACATTGGCTTCGTGGGGGTCAGTTTTACAATAGCAGCATCTCCGTTCTTAATGAATTTCGGCTCAGCCTCCACACTTTTACCAGTGCGTTTGTCTACTTTCTCGATTAACTCTGAAAATTTACAGGCTATATGTGCTGTGTGACAGTCTAATACAGGTGTATAGCCCTTGACAATTTGCCCGGGATGACTGGTAATGATAACTTGCCCTGTGAAAGAGATGCACTCCTTAGGAGGATCATTCTTTTCGTCGCCAGCGACATATCCTCTATGTATATCTTTAACAGATATATTTTTTACGTTAAATCCTACGTTATCTCCGGGACCTGCCTCCGATATGGATTCATGATGCATCTCAACAGATTTAACTTCGGCACTAATATTTCCTGGGGCAAACCTTACAACCATACCTGGTTTTAATATTCCAGTCTCTACACGGCCGACTGGTACGGTTCCGATACCACCAATTTTGTAAACATCTTGGAGAGGAAGCCTCAAAGGCTTATCCGTTGGTCTTTTGGGGAGAATTATCGCGTCCAAGGCTTCAACCAAGGTTTTCCCGCTGACTTTTCCTGATTTACGTTCAATGTTCCAGCCTTGGTACCATGGCATATTTGATGTAGCTTCCAGCATATTATCCCCATGGTAACCAGAAATGGGGATGAAAGGAATGGTATTTGGGTTGTAACCCACTTTTTTTAAGAAGTTTTTGACTTCTTCAACTATTTCTTCAAAGCGTCCTTTGTCGTACTTCACTGTATCCATTTTGTTTACAACAACAATCATTTGCTTAACGCCTAGAGTGAAAGCAAGCATAGCATGCTCTCTAGTTTGTCCTCCCGAGGAGATGCCGGCTTCAAATTCCCCTGCGCCACTGGCTATAACTAGAATGGCGCAGTCAGCTTGAGATGTACCCGTTATCATATTCTTGATAAAGTCCCTATGCCCGGGTGCATCGATTATCGTGATTTCGTATTTCTTAGTCTTGAATTTCCACAGAGATATATCAATAGTAATACCCCGTTCTCGTTCTGCTTTTAGTTTGTCTAACACCCAAGCATACTTGAAAGATCCCTTTCCTATTTCTGCCGACTCTTTTTCAAATTTTTCAATCACGCGTTTATCTATCCCACCACATTTATAAATTAAATGACCGGTTGTTGTAGATTTTCCGGAATCTACATGACCTATTACGACAATACTCAAATGAGTTTTATTCTTATCCATAGCAGTATAAAGGTAAAATAGTGTCACGCAAAAAACATATGTAGTTAGTTTGATGCTAGGCAATATAGTTAGAAATAATAAATTAGTTTCCTTTTGTAAAATGATAAATTTAAATTATTAACAATAAAATCCTAATATGGCAACTAAACACCAAACATTGGAAGTTATCATTACTTTAGTTAACTAAAACCAATAATAAACTATGCATTTCCTTTTTGTATTTTAAATGTAAACCTTATACGGTTTGCTGCTTTGGATATAATTCTAATTTTCTTCTAAGCTTGCAAGCAAATTTAGTCGAATTGTAAGAAATTTTTAATATTTGGCGACCCCAGTTAAGGGCTTGGGGCCGAGGAAACAAACACTGCTTTTAACGGACTAAAATCGTTGCTGCCTCTAGGGCAAAGGATGTTATGTTAACAAAGTGTTTTAACGTTACAAAACGCCAAAAATAAATCAGTAATGACAGCATAAGAGACCAGTAAATAGAATACTTTATATTAACATAACAAACAGTAAGGGAACAAATTCAAAAAGGAGTCAAAACCAAAATTATCATAGATATAGAGAGGTTTCTAAATATAAACCAATAAGTTAGAAAGTTTCCACCGGGCGTAAGCCTTTTACCTAAAGACTTGACCCATTGGTAAGTGAAATCGCTAAGAGATAATAACATGTTCAAAGTAAGTTAAATAGATGTGATCTCTGTTTAGTTGCGTGCGTCGTTAAGGCCTTTTGAAAGCTTTTATCTGGGCATCCGTTATTTTATTTCTAAGTACTTTTTTGAACCCTACTAATACCTCTTTTTCCTGTCATTTTTAAGTTCTGTTTGTTATATTTACTTAGTTCAGGCTTTCTTCTCTTTTATGCTTGTGAC